ACGTATATATACGTACGTATTTTATGTATGTATGTACATAGTACGTATTGTGTATATATGTAAACCAAATAATTAGATGGGGGGATGAGAAAGCTTATTTTTGATTTTACAAAAATAATTTCTTTCTTGTTCTGATGCACATGTGCATTTTTTTTATTTGTTTTGATTTTTATGTAAATAATTTTCTTTTATAATTTTCTTTCTTGATTTGATGCACATGTGCATAAGTAGTCGTATCTGGGGCCAGAACATAACTAAAAAAACACAGTTTACATATAGAATTGGTCAAGTTGTGAATGTTGTTATATTATATATATATCTATATGTCCGAACGTCTCTGCTCAATTTTTGTTCTTAACAACCCAAATATTATTATTATTTTTTTTAAATCCTATTATTTATAAACTGGTTGTATAAGATTATAGGTAAGTGATTTCTTTTTTACCCTGAACGAAGCTTGCCACCTCTACGCGGTGTTCAGGAGAAACAGTTGTAAGTTAATAACTGGCCAAGAGCAAGCAATATTTGCAATATTTCATTTTACATATTTTTGGAATTATTGCGCCATTTTGTATTGAATGTCACGTAAATATGTTTATTCATAATATTAGCATCATGTTACAAAAGTTAAGGATTCTTGTTATGTAATAATTTTAAGGTTCTTGAATCCTTCATTGTATAATTTCTTCTTTTAACAGGTGGGATATTAAGAAGGTAGATTATGGTATGGGAACTCCTTATCTCTTTGATTTTCTTGGATTTTCCTTTTCAATTTAGGTTGTGTTTATCAGTTCTACATTTTGATTTGGAATTAATTATATAGAGGAGTAAAAGAGACCTACTTGGCCATCAGGAATGCAACTTATTTCTTATCGATGTTAGATTAAATTACATTCTATTAGATGTCACTAAATGCTATTTTGTATCAACACTGAAATTTTACAAAAAGAACCGTTCTAGTGTTATTACGGAAAAAATATTCAAGCTACACCTGGAAATTAAGAAAAAAAAGACAAGAACTCATCTTAATATTATTATAACTACCCATAATTTCAAGCTATTCTTACAAAAATTAATATGCAAGTATTTCCATACCTTATGAACAACTTTTCTTAGATATTTTTCGTTTTTCTATCTAGTTCCGTCGACCAAAATGCTAAAATTATATTGTGAGATCTCTATAATACAAAAAAATGAATTTGTCACGAAATTATTTTGCTGAAACGTATATTTAGTGACAAAATAGTAATAAATAGTAACAAGATAGTATAACTTTAAATATAATTTTGATGTGATTTAGTCTTTAGTCTATACAATTTCACAACCTATTCAGAAAAAAGATTTAATCAGTTCAGGTGAAATTTTACATAATGTAATTTATTAAGCACGTTATTTTATATATCAATTATACAAATATTTAAACTAACTCGGTTGAGTAAATCAATCTAACTATTTAACATACTCCGCGTCGTGTTATCGTTTAGAAGTGAAAATAAACCTAACTTTAAATTTAAATCTGTGTTGAGAACTTAGATTTGTCCGCTTTAGCAAATTTAACTTTGTTTATTTTTGGATGCTTTGGAAAAGTCTATCATGCAATTAGAAAAATTCAAATAGCTCTACAGCTTATAAAATTATTTACATAGCGATAACTATGACATAATGCAATACATTTTTCATGAATTTACGTTTATACATATATTTTTGTAAGAAGAATTTACCAACATATGGTAATCAATAATTTTTAATTGCAAAATTGCAAATCAAGCATTAACTTTTATAAGTGCATCACTAGCAATTATTCGTATTATTTATAATTTGAATAAAAAAATAATAATTTAATTTGTCATGGATTACGCATTCTTAAAATGTCTATACTACACTTCGCGTGGTTCTCCATTTGTTTCATAAACGCTTAATTTGTTATTTAACTTAGATGTTTCATCTTAATAATATGTTCCTTTGTAACGATAACAAAAATAATTTCAATGTGTGACCAAGTATCTCTATATATACAGTAGATGTGTTAGAAATTAAATTAAAATTCGAAAATTTTTCTAATATTATATTATTTAAATGTTTTATTTAAATGTAAATACTTTAATATTGTAAATATTTGACTTATATCAAATAAATTAATCAGCAAAATCCGAGAGTACCAATGAACTGAAAATTCGTACTTATTGAATACCGACTTATTACTTTACAGAAACTTCAAGATCGTAGCGATGGCTTAATGCGCAGTAACTGCGTTATAAATACACAGTGACCATCGTAAAGAAATTACATATGCAGTTACTGCATTAAGCCATCGCTACGATCTTGAAGTTTCTGTAAAGTACTAGCAACACCCGTTGCTTCGCACCGAGATCAATGAACTCAAACCGTTTACTAGTGAATTGTACACACAAATAATATTCTGAAAATAGGCTGTACATGAGCAAATATTAATTTATTTAAATTTACTAACTTATCATAATTTTAGCGATAAAATTATGATATCGTCAATAAAAATGACCATATTAGACCATTTTAGCGAAAAATCGTGATATAGCCAATAACGGAGACATGCTACACGTTACAGAATTCAAATTTTTATAGATGCAAAATTAAAAAAATTTAATCTTCTATATTAAATATGTTAAGTTAAAGTAAACCAACTAACACGTTAAAAACAAACAGAATTTAAAATTTGGTAGAGAATCCTACGTTCATTCCTTGTTCCTCTTATTACCATGTGTCCAAAAATAAATCAAAATAAATACGAATAAATGAGAAAGTTTAAAATAATTTATTTCTTGTTTTATCTAATAAACAATAATTAATTATTATATTGGTTTATTTTTATACTAACCTGAAAGATATATCTTAGCCTCTATTGTTAAGAAAATTTTATGAATTATTTCAACTACATTCACCACAAAATGTTTTATTAATATGACTAATACTAATGCTGTTGCAAAATATTTATATTATCTCACAATCTCATCTCTTTTTCATTTGTGAGTTTTTGTGTATTTTTTCGGGGCCATACTATAGTGCCAGTCAGATTCTAGAGATAGTAATGAAATTTCGATTCATTGGCATTATCAAGAAAGGAATGATAATAAATCGCATCTTAATATTTGTATCCATCTCTAAGGCGTAGAAGCATAAATAGCAAGATCGTCACCAAAACGAAATCTATTGTTTTGAATATACTGCATATTTACATCTTTTACATAACAAATACCTAATTATTCTGGTTTTTGAAAGAAAATATAAAACAATCTTTAAACAGTATATGTGCATATAAAGTAGTAGTAAACCATGTTGAAGAATTATAACCACCAAGAATTTCTTACTTTAATAAACGTAATAGTAACAGTCTATCATCACATAATTTATAGGGGTAAATCCATCTCGACTTCCTTTTAATAATAATAAAAATTTATACTAATTCTCTTAAATGAGCAAATTTATTATTATCTGTCCTATTAATTCATCTTGAAATAACTGAAACAATACAATTTTCGAATCAATATTCTCATAATTTTTAACAGCTCTTAAGAAGTAAAATGTTATCAGATGGTTTACTACTGGTTTACTGTCAGGATTTAAATGAGAATTTAATAAATCTCCATTAAGTTGTTTTTTTTAGTTTCTTATAAGGACGAACATTTTTTTAAGAATTCTTAGATCAAAAGTGAACAATATTGCAAAGTATTTTCCATTGTTTAAATCATTATCTGACCAAGTATTAGGATCTGAAATAAGAGTTGGATTTTGCAATAAAACCATTTATTTTAATAAATATTCCCAAACTAAGACTTCTTTCATCTGTAAATCATCCCTTTTAATAAGTTGAAACTAATGATTTTTTAGGAAGTGAAGTGAAATCAAATAACTTGAATACTTTCTCTGGAGATTTTGGCCATTAAATTATAAAAAAATGTTGGGTCATAATAATAAATAATTTGATTGAAAACTTGTTCAAATAAAAAAGAATACATATATGTATTCATTTTGATCCGATCACCGATCCAACCTGAAAGGTAAAAAAGTTTAGGGAAAAAGAAAATAAAAAAAAAGGCGCTCACCATAGCAACATCAATTCGATCACCGATCCAAACCTAAAAGGGAAAAGAACAAAAACAAAAGAAATAAGAAAAAAATTAAATTTATTGAAAATCTGGTTTAAAAAACCGAAAAAAATATTATTAAAAATAAGGTCTTAAAAGAACCGGAAAGTCACCATCGAATTTTTAAAAAACGGATTTTTTTCTAATTATTTTTTATTTGCTCTCTTCGGTTTTGTCTTAAATTCGAAAAAAATTCTTATCACAATCGGTAGTCACAAACATTTTCATAGATTGGCCATCGGAACGTGCACATGACCTCGACAGCCGTTTGACCTGATTCGGAGCTCTAGCAATAATTAGTAAATCAGATTAAATCTATATCTGATATTATTAAAAAAGGATATTAAGGCTTGATATACTATTTTTGTTACTATATTATATATTTTCTTATTTATTACAAATTATCCATTAAAATAAATATTTATAAATTGTAAATATCAGTGACTATTACAATTCCATTATAATAATGTTTCATGTTACACGATTCATTATTTATACGGATGTTTTTTGAGCATATAATTTAACATAACGCGGACTAATTTTTATAATAATGTGTAAATTTTTGGCAATCAACAGTGCATGGACCAGATAAAACATGGATTAATTAATTTCATATCTGATTTATATTTTGTCCCTGATAAATCTAGGGTTTAATCCTAGACTTTTGATCAAAACGGCTGGTTCAATATTTACTTTTACATATTAACGAGCTTACTAATTTACTCTTTTCTTTACTTTTCATAGGACTTTTCCTTTTTCCTTTTATTATTTCTTTGATGTATTACGTCTTGCTTTTTATTGTAAAGTTTATTTTATAAAAGATAAATTGCGCTCTGATTTCTCTTCTATTTACTAATAAACTACTCTCGTGAATATTATATTTACAGTATATTTATTCAATTACAATCGACGAAAAAATAAACATACAACTTAAGTAAACTTTATTTGGTGTTATTGAAAGATTTATTATTAATTTTGAAATACAAACTATTTTAATTATTCGAATACATTTTTTTATTAATCGTTGTGACCAATAAATTTAAATTAATAATAAAGAAATTACTTATTTTACACAATATTGTACATGTTATGGAATTAGAATTAACGTTAGATTAGGTAGGACATAGGTTAGGATTCAAAGCGTGAAAATTATCACAATTTTAATATATCACTTTCTTTATAATATTTCATTTTACTGCTTATTCACAGATTTCTTGAAACTTTATTTGTCAATTTTAAATATTATGGTCGTCAGTATTGTACTAGAAATCATAACTTAGTAAAAAAATTATAATTAAAAAAATAAACAAAACTGGTTATTCAAATGCAAAAAAACTATAGAATATCTCTTAAGCATTATAATATAGTATTAAATATTCATGAGCACGTTAGAATATCTTTTAAATTAATTCTAAATATTGATCAAAGACATTTTGGGAGTACAAATTTGGTAACTCATAAAATGAGAATTTACAACTAAATATTTCATAGTATATATATTATATCTTTACAAAGTCAATATAGTTTATTATAAAAAAAATTAAATGAAGAATTAATGATATAAAATAATATTTAAAGAATCAAATAAAAAAAGTTTTTAAATTACCTTAAATGAATTATTCTTTATTCTTTAATAGCTTTTCTAGTTGATTCTGAGCATCTTGATCTCCTTGTTCAGCAGATTTTTTATACCAATAAATCGCTATATCTATGCTTTTAACAATTCCTAAACCATTTTCATACATTGTAGCAACATTACATTGAGCAGATTTATATCCTAAATTCGCTGCCTTTTGAAATAATTTAAATGCCTTTTGGTAATCAATGCTAGTTCCAATTCCGTCAGAATAACAATATCCTAAATTATTTAATCCACTTGGACTTTCTAAATTTGCAGCCTTTTGATATAATTCAAATGCCTTATTATTGTCAATGTTAGTTCCAACTCCCCTTTCATAACAATCTCCTAATTTATTTATTCCAGCTACATTCCCTAAATTTGCTGATTTTTGATACAATTCGAATGCCTTATTATTGTCAATATCAGTTCCAATTCCCTTTTCATAACAATATCCTAAACTATTTATTCCATTTGCATTTCCTAAATTTGCTGATTTTTGATACAATTCAAATGCCTTATTATTGTCAATGTTAGTTCCAACTCCCTTTTCATAACAATGTCCTAAGTTATTTATTCCAGCTACATTCCCTAAATTTGCAGCCTTTTGATATAATTCAAATGCCATTTTTTCATTGATATCAGTTCCAATTCCATTTTTAGAACAATATCCTAAATTATTTATTCCATTTGCATTCCCTAAATTTGCTGATTTTTGATACAATTCGAATGCCTTATTATTGTCAATATCAGTTCCAATTCCCTTTTCATAACAATATCCTAAACTATTTATTCCATTTGCATTTCCTAAATTTGCTGATTTTTGATACAATTCAAATGCCTTATTATTGTCAATGTTAGTTCCAACTCCCTTTTCATAACAATGTCCTAAATTATTTATTCCAATTACATCCCCTAAATTTACTACCTTTTGATACAATTCGAATGCCTTATTATTGTCAATGCTAGTTCCAATTCCCCTTTCATAACAATCTCCTAAATTACTTATTCCGCCTACATCCCCTAAACTTGCAGCCTTTTGATATAATTCAAATGCCTTATTATTGTCAATGTCAGTTCCAACTCCCTTTTCATAACAATCTCCTAAATTATTTATTCCAGCTACATTCCCTAAATTTGCAGATTTTTGATACAATTCAAATGCCTTATTATTGTCAATATCAGTTCCAATTCCCTTTTCATAACAATTTCCTAAACTATTTATTCCATTTGCATTTCCTAAATTTGCTGATTTTTGATACAATTCAAATGCCTTATTATTGTCAATGTTAGTTCCAACTCCCTTTTCATAACAATGTCCTAAATTATTTATTCCATTTGCATTTCCTAAATTTGCTGATTTTTGATACAATTCAAATGCCTTATTATTGTCAATACTAATTCCAATTCCTAAATGATTAAACACTCCAAGTAAAAGAATAGAATTGGAATTATTTTGATCACTCAATAACCAATTATAAAATTCTTGTAATGTCATATTATAACTATCATTAAGATAATTAAGATTATTCTGTTTAAACACTTTATTATTTTCTTTTTCATAAAGAACAACTATCTCGTCAACCACTATATTAAAATTAATATTAGTCTGACTAATTTTTAATGCTTTTAATTTATCAACTACCTGAATGATAGTTGGACGATTGTCTGGCTCATAATTCCAACATTCTAAAAAAAAAGTTGGTTATATTAGATTAAATAATGATATCTTCATAACAATCAAATCATGCTATTTACCAGTATAAAGATTAATGTAAGCAGTAGGTGTGTCAGGAAGTGGCGTTTCTCTAAGTCCTTGTGAAATTTGTATAATTAAACTATAAGATGACATTCCCTTAAAGGGCGGCTGACCACTTGATATTTCCCAAAGAAGTACACCAATGCTATAAATATCACTCTTTTTATTTAAAGAATATTGTTGAAAACTGAATTTTTTTGGATCAATATATGGAACTACACCAAATAAGTCCGATCGTGATTTATATGCTTCATCAATCCTTTTTGATAAACCAAAATCAGCCAACTTTATGACATTTTGATGGATTAATACATTTTTAGAGTGCTATTTAATATAAAGTATATTAATAAATCGATTAATTAATATGTACTGTACAATATAATATTAAATAATAAAATGTAAATGAATTACCAGATCACGATGAACGATTCCTTCATCGTGTAAGCATAATACAGCATGAGCTAGCTGAAATGCTAGGTTAAGTTTATTGTTCCAAGTAAGATTATGAAAATGTTCTTTCAAATACTCTTGAAGAGTACCACTATCAGCGTATTCCATTATTAACCAATATTTTATGGAGCTATCATTTTGATTTTCTTATTAAAAAAAAAAAAAAAATTATTTTAAATTTATGAAATTTAATATCATTATTATTATAAAATTTATCATCATACGTGTTGTAATGCCAAAGAAACGAATAATATTTTCATGGAAATCCACTTCGCGCTGAAGTCTAAGCTAATTCGTAAGTAAATTTTTAATTAAAAGTCATAATAAAGAAGAGATATATGGTATACATATTATATTGTTTATTACCTCATTAACAACTTCTTTAGTTGTGATATTATTGAAATTAAAAAAAGTTTTCAACGCTAAATAACTATGAGAACTTTTCCACTTAGCACGGTAGACTTTTCCGAAACTTCCAGAACCAATTTCTTCAATATTATTAAAATGATTATATTCATAATATTTAAAATAATTTTTTGCAATAGCTTCTTCAAGCCAATTAGTCCATTCATTATTTGAATCTTCAGTGACAGTTATTGGTATAATAGGTCCTGACATTGTTTGAATTTGTAGAAAATTTTTATTATAGAAATTAATTTAAGTTTAATTTAAGTTTGAAGCTGAATGGCTTTTGGTATTACCAATACGTAATCGTGCATGAATAGTAGTCTGTAGATCATCTATCTCCTGGATTTTTTTTTATTCTGATATTAATACTAACAAAAAAAGGTATAATTTTTCTTATTAATTGCATTTTATTTGCGGTCATTCTGCTCTTCTTAATTATCACGACTAACCATTTCTATAATATTTTTTTTTTTATTTTTTCAGTTTTTACCGTGAAGACCAAAACTACCTTTTTGGTCTTTTTTTTTTTATTAATTTTTTTATCTCTCTTTTTATTATTATTCTTTCTTTTGGTTAACTTAATCAAAATTTATTTTTTTGTTTTATTTTTATTGGATTTTTTTTTAGGGGATTTTTTTATTTTTTTTTAATCGGAATTTATCAAAATTTTGGAATTTTTTATAACCCAAAAAATATTGTTTATTCTTTTTTGGTTTTGGTCAAGACTATAATCAGATTAGAACTATATCCTAAGGTTTTTTCGATGTTTAGAGATTTTTTTTAGTCAATGGATATTGTTTCTGACTAATAAATTCGCATGAAATTTTTTTTTTGATATTAACGAATTTTTTTTTAGTGAGATTGTTTTTAACTATATAGATACATAACAATATTAATAATTTTGTAATTAAATTTATAATAAATTTTTTGATAAATCTATATAACTAAAAAATCTAAAATTTATCTGATGTTTGGAACATGCCTCCGCCTGATCTATTTATGGTCAAAAACTATTCGTCCCGTGTGCATTCCAATCAACTAATCCAATCTCAGTTAATGAAATTTTACCTTAATCGGAATTTAAATATTTTTAGCTTTTTTGATTTCATTTTTTTCAAACGGAAAAAAATTTTTCTCCCTTTTCTTCTTTCGGTTTAGTTTTTTTTTCTTATTTTTTCTCATTCTTTTCCCATTTACGTTTAACTTTTTTTCCCAAACTGAAAATTTTTTTTTTTTATTAAATAATCCTATTGTTTTAGTCTTTTAAGACCTATATTATTTTTTTTCGATCTTTTTTTTTAGACCGTATTAATTTTTTTTCACTCTTTTTGGACTGAATTATCGTCCCTTTTTTTTCAGAATTTTTTCGGTACTTATTTTTTTTTTTCAGATTCCTTTTTTTCCTTTTTTTAAACCGATTTCTTTATCTTTTTTCTTTCCCTCGGATACTATACTTTCCGCATACTATTGGAACACAATCAATTTAAATGTTTACAATTATTGGCCATTAAAGTTATTTGCTTTTATAGCAAATGTTATTTTAATTCTTGTCTTATTAAATATGATCATTGCATTGATGAAGTAAGTATTATTATCTAATAATTTGTATATAATATTATATAATATTTTATTTGCCTAACTCTATTTTATAAAATAAAAATATTTTAGTGATACATTTAATAAAGCAAAGGAAGATGGTAATATTGGACTTTTGTTATTTAGAGAAGAACTTATTCATGATTATGAGAGTCTTGATAATCCTTACTTAAACAAATTACTATATAATGACTCATTATATATATGTTTTCATCGAGATTCTGATTTGATAAAAAATTGGATTGAAAAATCTCATAAACTTGAAGAAACAAAATTATACTCATGGTTTAAAGAGAGCATGGATGAAGGAAATATAAAATTTGATGATGAAAACATTGAAGCTTGGTATAAACTTATCTCAGGTACTGCAACTGATAATGAAAATCAAGATGAAAATCAAGATATATCCGAAGATGATCTCTGGTTTTAATTCCTTTTTTTAAATTTATTTATTTTTGATGTTTAATTTTAAGATATTTTATTTTTATAACTAGATTAGGTTGATGTGTGGCGACTTTGTCGCCACCAGATAGATTGTTCAAAACATAAGTGATTGGGATTTGTTCATGATTATTTTATTTAAAAAAGAATCTTGCTAATTTGCTCTCCAGGTGAAAATTTCACCCATGAATAATTTTCCAAAATCAAGTAATTTTACACAAAAAATTTTAATAAATTTAATAGCAAATCTTGTTACGTAATTTTATTTTTTAAATATGTAAATAAACATATTTTCGCACTAAAAGTTTGTAACAATTTATTAATTTTTAATATATTACATGATTTATTGATTGAAAAAAACAAACTCATACTATCCAAAATACTAAATTTTTTGATAGGAATGATAAAAAAAATGAGTCACAACGATAAAGAAAAGAGAATATGTGAATGAAAAGGGAAAAAAGAATGAGGGTGAATGAAAAAAAATAGGAAGAGTGAAAGGGAAGGAAAGAAACGAAGGGGAGTGAAGGAGGAACGAAATGGAGCAAAGGGGGAATAAAAAATGAAAGGGAACAAAGGGTAGTGTAAAGAAATGAAAAAGATGAAGTGGGAATGGAAAAGAAATGAAAATAACGAAGGGTAGATTAAAGGAACGAAAAAGATGAAGTGGGAATGGAAAAAAAATGAAAATAACGAAGAGTAGTGTAAAGGAACGAAAAAGATGAAATGGGAATGGAATAAAATGAAAGCAAAGCCTCCAGAACCAATTTCTTCAATATTACTAAAATGTATATATTCGTAATATTTTAAGTAATCTTTCGCAATAGCTTCTTCAATCCAATTAGTCCACTCATTATTTGAATTTTCAGTAACTGTTATTGGTATAATAGGTCCTGACATTGCTTGAATTCTTTATTGTGGTAGTTGATTTAATAAGTTTGAAGCTTATTGGCTATTATATCATTGTAACACATTTCTAAATATGGTTTTATATGGGGATAGCGTTACAAAGTCGCAGTAACAGGTTGATCATTGATTGATTTTCGTTATCATTGCTTAGATTTATTTTGCAATTACTGTTAACCGATGGATGATAATGATTAGGTAAGTCTATTTGCGCGGGACAACTCCTGGACAAATTAGTGAGAAAGTAAAGTTTATTTTGGGATTTAACCTTTTATTTCGAAAAGTTTGAGTTTAACAAATTTTTTCTTTCGAGAAGTTTGGTTGAGAATTTTGTTTTTTAGTTCTTGATAATATTGGGATTTATTACAAAACGCTGAGTGAAACAGTATATTGATTATTACAGTGTATTGATCATTAACGCACATTTTTGAAACCCTCGTTTTAAACGTATAAACTATTATTTTTTGATCGTAAACTATACTTTTATTTTCTGTTATCACCTTGTATTTAACATGAATTGGTGTAACAATAGCAAATATTTTTTTTAAAATGATGATCAAATACATACATCATTTAGTTTTGAACCTTAGTAGTACTTGAGTAACTTTTAATATGCGGCAAATAAGAAATAAGCGTTTACTATTATTAGCAGGTTAAGGAAAAAATTTAATCTGGACTCATACCACAGTCCACAAAGTCAACGGCTTATTTAGATATTAATTTAAATAGTAGTACTACAGCTTAAGGTTATCGATATTTATGGGGTACAATTGTACATGTATTTTTTTGTGAAAAAAAAAAAAATTTAATAATATACATTAACTAATTTGAAATTTTTTTTTCAAAAAGAAAATAAGAATATTCGTATTGAATATACTGGCACCTGATAGTGGTATTTAAGTGAATCAGACTAGTTTAATATTAACTTATACTTTCAAAAGGACAAATGCGCCACTAGCTATTATTATTTTCTATAAAAGCATGCTCAGTTTTAGATTTTGTGTTTATAAATACTCGTATTATTCAGATAACATCAACTTGTCACAGATTACGCGTTCTTAAATGTTCATGCTACACATGTTTTATAAGTTTTAGATTTTATTTTGATTTTAATTATAAAGAAAAAATTTTCTTTTAAAGAAGCAAAACTTCGTTCAAGGTCGACAAAATTATCATGATACTTTGTTTCTAAAGTTTGTTTTATTAAGGCAGTGACAGATATTATGTAATATCTTAAGGGGCGGACATAAAAAAATCTTAGTATATATAGTGTAAATACTTTAAGATTATCTTTACATATTTTTCATTATTAACATCCTGAATTATTGTATGATGTTGTAAGATGTTAAATAAAATCTCACATTAAATTAAATACTCATTATTTAAAATTTCTAACCTACAGTACATTATTATAATTTTCTTTTTATTAAATTTATTATTTTTTTTTTTTTACATCGTTGTTAATATATTTCTTATGTTGTGCTTTCCAACAAAAGAAAAAATTTCATCATAAATTAATAAATATGATATTAAAAATATAATATTCCTTTTTTTTATCATACAGTATAACACCTGCTAAAATTACCTTAATGTGGATGGATAGAGGGTATAATTATTATACGACATAGTACCAATATTCTGCACATCATGCTTAACATATCATAAATTTGGACGATTTTTCTGGAAATTTTTATCAAATAATATTTTATTTCTTACCAGAGAACGACAGAAAAATTTACGAAATTTTTTTTCCTTTATTAAATATCTTGTATTGTAGTATAATTACAAGATCCAGCGACTATCCAGCGGCATACGCTTATAATTATGTTAACTAGGAAACGGAAACCGTTTTAAGTCCGAAGTGCGTGCTGTTTAAGAGTACGTGCCGGATGGACAGAATGAACATTTTTGACCTTTGCATAGAAGAATAGAAGTATATAGTATTACATTTTGGATAATTACTATAAGTTTATCTATCTATGTCTAAACTATATTACTGTATTAAATATTTACTTCAAAGCATAAAATATAACCAGAAAATTAAATTACAATGTGTATTAGATTTAATTTAAAATACTCAATTATTGTTAAGAATAATGCAAAAAAAAATAAATATCAAAAAACATCTGCTGTAGAGAATCATTTTTGATAAAAATGATGGGAATTTATTCAATTAAATTTACTTAGTTTATTCATTATTTTTCTTGAACAATTTATAAAATGATTAATATTTGAATTGATGATTAACTTTCTTAAACACTTTCAACTCTCTTCATTCCATGATAACAAATTTGGACTTAGTATTTAAAATTTAGATCATTCTTTCCGGTTGATTTATGCTTGGGTTATTATTAGGATTCAGGATATTGGGATTCGAGATATTCGAGATTCAGGATTCGGGAAATAGATTTCAAGAAATTGGAGTTTGGGAAATATGGATTCGGAAATTGTATTTTTCAGAAAGGGTCCAGTTTGGGAAATTAGTATTCAGGTAATTGACTTCGGGAAAAGATATATTCAGGAAAATGGCATTCAGGAAATGGTCCGACAATGCTTTATAATTATAGGCTTGGTACACATGCATTTGTGTGTTTTCAAATCTTAATTTTTTTTTACATACTACCATAACGATAAGAAAACAGAAATGCCAGCTAACATAACAACTAATCTCCCTTTTACTCCATTAGAAACAAATATAAATATTAAATGATAATAGTATAGTATTAATTTAGTTAACTGTTAATAATATTTAAATGGATTAGAGGAGAAAAATATTAATGTTAATTAAAATAGTAATAAGAGCAACAAAGGAAAATGAATTTATTTTTTTAAATACATAAAAAATAAATAATAATTTTCGAACTTAAAAATACAATATTCAAAATATGATGTATTTATCTTCATGAAACCTGTAGTCCGTTAGATACTTAGATTATCCTTTTTAAAAACATTTATTAATATTTTATCGTAGAAATGGATTTGTTAATATAAGAGCTATTTACTACTTGACCATAATTTTCACACTTTATTCATTCTCAATTTTTTTACTCCTCATCAAAGATTAGTAAGATTAGTGCAAAGGTAATATGGAAAATATAGTCTCTATAACTCTATTCAAAAAATATATCTCTTAATACATAATTAAATAAATATCATTTACTAAGATAAAAGATAAATAAATTTTCTTTTTGTTTTAAAATTTACTCAATTTAAACTTGCATAATAAAACTTTTCAAGATTATTATTGATTTACTGTACGTATATACAATAAAAATTTCGATCCTTCAATGTTTGATCATCTTCATAATATTATCTTCTCCATACGGATAATAGTATGAAATACCTTACATTTCTTCATTTATCATATTTACTAGACAAGGTTCATTTAAACCAATCATACAATATTATTATTTATCTTCCTAGCGTAAAGACAAAAAAAGCTTACTGTATATGCAAACTATAATCTGTAACCTTGATTTTCGTTAATTAAAAATATATTAATTAAAATGTTTATTCCAAACTAATTTATTTTTGATATATAATTTGGCAATGATTTTCTATTATAGGTTTATTGCTATTTATTTTTTTGAAATACAAAATAAAAAAAATTATATGATCTACATTACCGAAAATAATTTTACTTCGCATTTTTCATTTTAACCATTTCGGGTTAGATTTATTTTTTATGATGATCAGCTGCTGCTTACGAATTTTTCTTTGTTACAAAAATAGTAATTTTTGTATACAATAGTAGTACAAATAGTAATACAATTAATACAAATGTGCGCAATTTATTTTAACTTCGTTCAATTCATAATTTTTTTCTTTTTCCCATAATAATTCTGAAATTTATTTTTGAGTAACGTAGTTATTTATTTATATTAACTAAAATTAAAATTATAATCCACAGCTCAATTAATATGGATGAAACCC